CTTGGATGAGTACGTGTTGACGAGACGGGAGATGGTCGTCGTTCCTGTCGACTCTCAAAGGGCTCCTTCGCATGACACTGCAGTGTAGTGTAGTACCGTATGGCAGTGGTTGGAATTGGGTCAACTTTATCAAAGTGGATCACGCCTGATGTGGGGGGGGGGGGACGGACTGCCCCTGTCACTGGCGTTGTTGAATGGGTCCTGGCAGCATGGACCGTCCTCCGGAGCGGCTGCCGCTGGTGTGGCACAGCGATCTGGAACCTGTACGGTGTGGGGTTATGGTGCCATGCCCTTCCACTGGCTCGTAATTTCACCTCTGCGATCCACTTCAATACTCACCTTATCTCCACCCGCTTAGCCCTGCTTGGGCTGGCGTTTCCTTGGGACAAGTCTTGGCTCTTTCCGCTTGCCAACAGCATGTCCGTGGGTACGGGGTGCCGATCGCGGCGCAGCCCGCGACACTGGAGGTTTGACAAGTCCGAGTCGTGCCTTGTCTTGGTCTGTAAGTTGGCCGTCCACAGGCCGCGCGAAGGGGCATTCCAACTGAAAGAGTCCAGCGAAATTGAGATGGGCAAGCGGCTCAACCTAATCCCCTTGGAGAGAAGATATAACGGGCTTCCGTGGTGTATTCCCGTCATGAGCTAAGTGTACCTACCTACACGGCGAGTTAAAGTGGGTTGCGTGAGGTGAGTAGGTAGGTGTGTTTGGATGGCATTGGCGGGGAGACGACGGTCCTTGCGAGCCTTGCCCAAAGCCCAACCCTTTTAATGGACCTTGCTTTTTTTTTTTTTTTTTTCTTATTTTCTTAACAAGACCACGATTACGCAATTGAACCAGCAACTCGGTGAGTCCCACCAGGCGCGAATTGCAGATTCCTTCCCCAACCATGGATATCCCCGCGGAAACCGGGCTGGACAATGTGCTGCATGTCGATAGTGCCTGCCGCCGGTGTTGTGACCAAAAAGGCTGGTGGCTTGGCCCAGAGGTACCTCTATAGCATCCGTGCGCTATAGGCATGGAGCTGCCTACCTATGTATCTCTACATAGTTTACAGACCTCGACGTATTCAAGGCTCACGAACGGCATACCAGTACCGGCGTCACGTCCGAGGCTCCTTTTCCTGTTTTTACCCATGCCAATCAGGAGGATCGGCTCTGGACTTCCACTTGTTGCTTTCGTGGTTCCCAGCAAAACCAGCGCCGGGTTGGTATTTGCTGATATCCAGGGTGCCAGGTACTGTCAAAGACGGGATACGGCGGGAGTTGCACAGAAAGGGCTCAGAAGTAGGTTACTTTGCAGGTGGCTAGAGGTAAGAGCAGGAACCATTCGCTAAGGCCTGCAGATAATAGGATGGCAAGTAGGACGGAATGGCCGTTGGGTTATCATGAACTAGCAACTAACCTACCAGGTGCAGGCCAAAAATCTTTGGATTCCGTTGCTCAATCCAGTTAGTGGCCCCCTTTACCAAAACGCCTCCGAGGCCATCTCGATGGCAGTCAGCAGTGTATGGAACATCCTACCTCGCGTGCCTCGGTGTTCTAGCTCGATTCGAGAACACACCGCGGGTGAGAGAATGCAACGGATCAGGAGGCTCTTCCAAGCTTCTAGAAGTCCAACCCATCCATTGGAGTCTGGTGGGAGATCGAAATGAGCATCTCTTTTTGGGTCGAGCCAAGTTTATGCAAGATTGGCCACGACCTTGTTATGCCATGTGGTCGGTATGGTGTGGAACGTATAAGTGTCTTGACGGCCCGAAGACGTGTTTGTTCTACGCTCGTCGCTAGAGGTTCTGTGTCCAGGGGCAGCTTCAAGGGTCCACCGTCCATTGCCAGGGGTATTTGCGGAGCGGCGAATTTTTGGGGAAAGGTCAACGAGCAATCTGACACAATCACATTCACAGACAACTCCAGAGATACACTACACATACATCACATACATACACTACTACAGCTCGTGTTGACGTTTGACAGGGGTTGGCTGTTTCTTTATAGTCAGTGTAACGCATCGATGGGAATTCAGAGAGGTTTTTCCTATTCTCTACCAGGAAATGCAAATACGAAATACTGCAAACTGGAGCGTCAGGCGATGCAATGAAATTGCGCCTTCTACGTACAATCCTCGTCCGGCTCACTGTTGACATCTCGCAGAGTTGCATTGGTACCCCCTTCCCATAAATTGCATCATTTAACCAGAGTAACTTTTGTGCTGTGCTCCGGAAGGATCAACCTGCCATTCATTCATTTTGGAGATTACGACACACGAGGGCGGCACTTTTCGTTACCATAGCGGTTGACTATTACAAGGAAGTAAGAAGGAACCGGCTCTGGCCAATGGTGTCGGGAACAGTTACCTCTTAAAGCGGCTGCCCAGCAAACCCGACATCTTGGATACCCGAAGATGAGCACGCACGCATCGATGGAACTGGAATCGCCACCTTATTGCCCTGTGCCATCGAAGAGTCTGACAATCAGCACGACAGGGGGCGTGGCATTCGGATGCCGTCCTAACCTTACCTGTACACGTAGTGTAGCCAAGCAGACGAAACAAAGACGACTTCGGCACAAGATCCGGTGCGTTCCTGTCGAGCAACGGGCCGTAAAGATAGGTTCCCCCTCTACTGTAGTGTATATACACTACTGCTTGCATCATGTCCGAATCCGGTTACTTGAATTCTTTGGGGCTCATTCTGTTTGTGTTCTTTGATGCCATCATCGCCGTCTTTTCCCTTTCCTCCTTCGGTGTCTTCTTCTAGCATATCACATATCAGACCACCCTCGGTAAATCAACGTTGGCAATATAACCACCCGTACCCGATTAATCAGCATTTGCGCCTTATTCATGATTCAAAGGCGCTAAACCTTGGAGGCTCTTTTCATGGTGCTTCAACATGACCCACACACAACTACCCTATTCTGTCACTTTCCCCTTATTGAGCGGCTATGACTTGATATTAAACCCGTTAATATCTCCACGGACTCCTAATATCACTGCAACATAAGACTGGCTTTCTCGTACCTACCAGTCTAGGCCCTAGGGTATAACATAGTGAACCATACAACTCGGTGATATTGACGGCATCAGGGTAGTAGCCTGCGCAGCCCCGTTACATGTTGAAGCTGGTTCCATCATGTCCGAGTCCGACGGCAGCTTTGTTTCTCTCATCACTTGAACTTTTGACACTTCTATTACATGACCACATCTAGCAGCAGGTGGTCGGCAGATGAGCTAACATCTGGGTCAGTCCTCTAGTCTGGTCATTTATATTCAGTAAACCGCTACAAATAAGAACGCCCATTGTGAATGTACTTCACATGCGCATTGTTAGACCCACCTGCCCAGTTGCGTTTTCTGACGAAGTATCTCCGTGGGAAGATCAGGAGCGCGTGTTTGCCTGCAATGTCAAGTCCACAGTGACCGCAGAAGAAAGTGCGAGACACCGACCTTCCACGGGGTCGGTAGCAGCTTGACAATGAAGCTCGCTGGGAACATCTGCGGGATACTACGCTGAACAGTGATACAGGGGCGCTGAGAGGGTGTAGAGTCTGCAGGAACACCATGAACCTGTTCCACCAAAGAACAACGCAGATAAACAGCTGGGGTGGGAGGATGTAAGCCAAGAACCACACCATCCGCCCGCACCATCCTTTCGACCTGCCTTATCAGCAAAAAGTGTCTTCACCTTCCATGTTCAGCAGCAAACAACGTTGGAGCCGTTTGGGTGCGTCCACTCAGTACTAAACTACAAGTTTGTTCTAAACTACAAGCTCTCATCACTACGCAAGCTACTACGATCGAGATTCAACGGGATGACTTGACAATCCGGAATCACAGAAGCCTGCAGGGCGTGTCATGTGTGTAGCGAGATACTACGCAAAATAACGGTCAACTTCCGCATCGGTTTAGACCTTCATAGTCTGGATCGGCATTATTGCTCTGTCGGTGTCCGTCAAGCGCTCGAGATGGTCGTGAAAAAGAAAAACCGAGCATGAACAGTCCAAAACGGTTCGCCTTGGCTAAGAAAGGCAGCTACCAAACTATACCAGGGATCACAAACTTTTGAAAACACATCGGCCAGAGTCCATTAGAAATTCTTCCAGTCAGGAACAGTTCAATAGTTAGATTCAGAGGCCTGATAAAGACAGTTTGATGCGTAGATAAGAGTATACCCAAGGTGTAGTGAAGTGCCCGTATTGTGGCCGATTCGTTCTTGCGACCACCTCGGCGCTCTGCGGAGCACTTCAAAATCCCAGATACGATCCCGAAAAAAAAAAAGAAAAGAAAAAAAAAAAAAAGTTTAATCCGACCGGTCGTGGAAAGAGCTGATTGCGGTGAGTACGCCAGAAATTGGGTGGCCCGACCAAGCCTTGCACCCTCCATTCCAGCCCTATCGCACATTGCATTGTCAGCATCTGATCAACACATAGTCAGGATGTTTTCGACTTTTTTCTTTCTTTCTTAGAAACATCGTATAATCGAGTTTTGCATGATGATACATATGAGTAACATCTATCTTAAGAGGTAGCCACCGGTACTTGATTACTCCGTGCATTGTAGCTGTAGTTGTACCTGAAGAATGCAACGATCGAAGAGTCGTCCCTGCACAACGCACCGACCCTGGCCGTAAAATGTTAGTCATGTTACCTCCCGCCTGCATGGCACCTGCCGATGCAGTGCGCTATTTGTACACCGGGAGTGCAGGGCAGCCCCCAACAAAAGGGAAGAAAGAAAAAAAAAGATGCAAGTCCTCCAAAGCTACCTGTCCAAGGAGGCCCTTTGGTAGGCTGGTTACAGCATCTCTTTCCGTGGATTGCAGTGCAATCCATCCACTTTGTGACTTTGCAAACTCTCAACTTTGGAACTCGTGACCCTCTAGGTACCTCTAGCGAACCAGGACCGAGTCAGCGAGTGAACAACTTCAGTTGGTACGGAACAACGATCACTCCCCTTCCGCTTGCCTTCCATTTGTTTGTTGATACAACCTCATCCATGTTGGCAGTCAAGACTTATACATTGCCGTTGCTACCTTGATTCGTTACAGTTGACTGACTGTCAAAACTCAAAGTTTTGTGTCTCTTACAAATACCGCACACGGCACGACAGAAGACTGCCTTATCCCCACACATTCTCACGTCGAAATGGGATACCAGGCTGACCTTCCGCCGCCCGGCCCAGTCGTTGGTCCCGGAAGCCTCTTCCTGATTGCTGTGACCATTGTTGTTTTCATTCTTCCGATCCTTATTTACCTCCCACCGACTCTGCCTTCGGTGACGGAGGCACTCCTTCAAACACATAGCAAGTTAGGCCTGGATGACTCACAACGCCGACTGCCCAGGCACTCAGGAAGAGACAACAAAGCAAACATTGAGGGTCCAGGAAGAATTCAGAGCTTATGGATCTTCCCGGTAAAATCCTGCAAAGGCATTGAGGTACTTGAGAGCAAAGTTGTACCTGCCGGTCTCGAATACGACCGCCTCTACACTTTCGCTCAGCTCAAGAGTCCGTTCCCGGTCGGGCTCGACACCCTGGATGAGACAAAGCAGGAGCATTCGTGGCAGTTCATCTCGCAGAGAGAGTTTCCCCGTCTTGCCACCGTCAGTGTGGATCTCTATGTTCCTGATATCCGCAAGGCGCGAGGAGGAGGCCAGCAGCTATTGTCTGGAGACAGCAACGACAAGTCCACTTCTCTGGGAGACTCATTTATTGTCATCCGCTTCCCTTGGCAGGAGCTAGGGCTGCGCGGCACGCTGGCGTGGCTGGGCGCAAAACTCTCACGTGGGCTTCGTGCTGTACCCGAGAAAGAAATCGTGCTCCCTGTCTCATTTCCTTCAAATGGGGAGATCGAGGCCAGGAAATACACATGGGAGCCGGTGAAGATCTGGCGGGATACGGTCACTGCGCTCAACATGGAGGCGGACCTACCTCGGGAGTTGAGGCTGCACTTGGGAGTGAGTAACAGGCTCGGCTTATTTCGCGTCGACCCGTCCCGATTACGGGAGGTGTATCGAAATGCGCCAAAAAAGGAGGAGGCCGGCTATCAGCCCGTTACCGGCTGGCAGGATGCGGTACGTTCTCGTCCTTTTCCTACTCCGTGACTCGAGGACATTAGGCAAATCCAGACCGTATAACTGACCACAACGGAGGATTTGGTAATAGTATCCCGTGCATATGCTCAACCTCTCAAGCGTTCAAGATTTAGACGCCAAAATCAACAAGGATGACAGCCTCAAATCACTCGACCCATTGAGGTTTCGAGCCAACATCATAGGTAAGTCAGTCCGGACGCTACCCATTCGAGCATTAGTCGAGCAAACCCCCCTCCCCTCCCCCCCCCCCCCCCCCCCCCCCCCCCCCCAAAGCTCTTGGGCCATTTTGCTTCCCCTCAGGGGTCATTAGGCGCATGGCTAGTAGAGAAATTAGATGCTCGTTATGGAGGGTTTGAATCATGCTGTCTGGGCAAGCTTTCTAGAAGCAAGATTCCATTTCGGCGCAGTATCCCCATTGAAGCAACCCTGCATTATCCTCCGAAAATAAGGCCCAATCTCGTAACGCTAACAACACACACTTTCACACGCACACACACTGACCTAGCCTCATCACACATCACAGTGGACGGTGTCGAAGCCTACGAAGAAGAAACCTGGAAGACAATCCGCTTCAATCCTGAACCTTCCAATAAAAGACATGACAAGACCCATTTTCACATATCTTGCCGAACCGTACGGTAAGTTTGTGAAGGACTTCCCATCCCTAGTAAAAAAAAAAAAAAAAATGCTACATATACTAAAGGATTGCCGCCAACTAACCCCAACAGCTGCAAAATGCCCAACGTAGATCAAGACACGGGTTTCCGTCATCCTGCCGAGCCGGACCGATCCCTCCGAAAGTACAGAGACGTAGATCCGGGGATTAAGGGCGTCGGCAGTCTCGGCATGCAGCTGACCCCTTTATTCTGTGACCCTACTTCCGATGTCGAAGGAGTTGATCCCGATAACATGGTGATGGAAAGTTGGGTCGAAGTCGGTATGAGTGTCGAGGTGCTGAGCAGGGGGCCTCATCGGTATGTGAGGATGTATGAGAGTGACAGGCCGGATATCTGAAACAGAAAATCATTACAGCACTGGGTCTAGGCGGTTAAGCAACGTATACCAACGGGTATGGCGGAAATACCGTCGCTATCCAGGAGTGCATCAGTGGGTAAACTTGGACTGTAAGAATAGAGAATAGGAACACTCCCGAACATGAAAATCAGCGAGATTAGGTCAAGGCTAGTACATAAGCGTAGCTTCCATGTGTCAGCTAGATGACCGCACGCCAGAATGCCCCAAGTTAAAGACACCAAAGTTGTTCGTTGATTCGAGCTCCCAATTGTCGATTCTCCATATCCGTTTCCCACAATTACACATGAAATGTAAGAGCTACAAATTCATTCATAACTCAACCAAGCCAGATCCCATCACGCCCAATGTTCATGAACAAACGACCATCCTGCTTCTTTTTCCTCCGCCCTTCGGTATTCCAATCCCAGCCTTTGATCATACAAGTCTATTTGCCTAAAAGATGAACATGTCACTTCAAATCCGCCGGCGTGAGCGCCTGCACCATGCTCGTTCCCTCGCTGAATCTCGTCCGGAAGATGCGGTTGGCGTTCTGGAACATGCCGTCTTTGAGACTGACGACGATGAACTGCGAGCCCTTGAACCGGGTCTTGATCAGGCGGCCAATGTTCTGCGTGTGCGACAGGTCGAGCGCCGCATCGACTTCATCGAGAATGTACATGGGCGCGGGCTTGAACTGGAGCAGAGCCATGATGAGGGAGAGGGCGATTAGGGATCTGGACAATGACAAAGTTAGTAAGGTTAATGGGAAATTTTTGGATGAAGGGACGGGCTGAGGTGCATTGAATTGGGGGAGGCGGAAGAAGACTATATATGAAAAATAAATAAAAAAGGGTTTTTCAAAAAAAAAAAAAGAATATACCTTTGACCACCGCTCAACTCGGTAAGGCTCTGCTTCCACACTTTACCAAGCTGCACCTTGACTTCCAAGCCCTCGCTGATGGTCTTGCCTTCGGGAGGATCCAGCTTGGCGAAACTGCCCGGCAACAGCTCGGCAAAGATCTGTCCAAAGTCGGCATTGACCTTCTCCCACGTCTCCTGCAGCGCCTTCTTCTTGTAGTCGTCCAGACTAAGAATGGTTTCCTCAATCTTGCGCTTGTCGCGGATGACGGTACGCATCATGTGCTTGAGCGACACCTCCTTCTTCTCGACGCTGTCGATCATGTTCATCACCTTTGGGTTGATCTTTTTGCGCAGGCCCTGGCTACGCTCCGTCAGGTTCCGCAGCGTGGACTTGCACTCGGCGATATTCTGGCCCTTGAAGTCGTAGAGCGTTCCGGGCCGGCCAAATTGGTCCTTGGTCTCGGCGATCCAGTCGTGCTCGCGCTCCATGTGTGAGGCTGTCTGCGCGGCTTGCTGCTGCTCCTTGTGGAACTTCTCGATCTGGTGACCGAGCTTCTGCAGTTCAAGCCCCTCCTCGGCGATTCGAGCATTCTTGGATCTGGTAGCATCTTCCAAAGCCCGGAGCTCGTCGTCATACACATGCAGTTTGGTCCGTTCATCTTCCAGCTGTGCTAGGACGGCGTCGTGGGTCTCTTGAAGGACTGTTCCTTGCTTCACGATGTCGTCGATCTCCTCTTGTTGGGCTTTGAGAGCAACGTCGATATCTTGAACCTGCTCCCGCGCAGCTGCGAGATCCGCAGCAACCTGCTCGGAGTCCAGTTGCGCCTCCTGAAGCTCTTTTTGCAACGCCTTGTTAGTAACAGACATCTTGTCCAGGGACGCACGTAGCTTGTCGACTGAAGCTTGCAGCTCCACAAGCTTGGCGTCTTTATTATTGTCAAAGTCCTTCATGTCCTTTTCGATTCTTTTGGCTTCGGCGGTGGCTTCCGCTTGTCGCTGCTTGGCCTCCATGATCGACTGCTTGAGTTGGACTATTGTTTCCTTCATATTTGCAATCTCTTGGATGATCGACGACGATGAGTTGCCGCCAATTTGCTCCTCCGCTAGCTTGATCTCATGGGCTTTGAGGTCAAGTTCTTGCTTGATTCTCTTTGCTTGGTCAAGTTTCGTTTTTTCCCGGTAAATTTGGCCGCGCAGCTCATTGAGGGCGGTCTCTGCTTCCTTTAGCTGCCGATTGATTTCATTGAGCTTCTGCAAAGTAACCAAAACGCCGCTCGAGTTGGGTGCACTTCCACCCGATAGTGTACCAGATGGATCGTACGAATCACCCTCCACTGTGATGCTCCTCATGCGGACATTTGGATCGAACGTCACCCTCTTGGCTGTGTCTGCATCAGCGCAAATGAGCGTATTTCCAAAGACATAGTCCATTGCCGCTGACACTTCATCGTCGTACCCAACTAGGGACAAAGCTAGGTGCACTTTTCCTGGAGCGATTCGTTGCGCATTGGCAATCGTTTGTGCAGAAGCCTTGAAAGCAGAGATCTTGTTCAAGGGAATAATGGTAACCCTCTTTCGCAATCTACCGCCTTGCAGTAGTTGTGTGCCAGTGACTTCGGTGTCAACAACCACGTTGTATAGACGGCCTCCAGCGCAGATCTCCAGCGCTGTTCCAGCTTCCATATACTCTTTGGGTAATGAAAAGAGTTGCGCGACTAGCCCTTTCACTTTTGATCGATCAAAGTTTGGGACTGGATCGGCGTAGTTGAAGTCGATATTTGCCACCTTGCGTTTAAGCGCATCGGATTCTTGCCCGAGATTGCGGATAGTCTGCTGGAGCGAGCTTTCCTGCTTGTACATTTCTTCCTCCGTCCCGGGTTGGAACCCAAGCTTTCCAAGCTCCTTCTCAAGCCTCTGAGCCTGGGCTTTCAGGCCATCGAGATCCTTCAGCAAGCCGGCGTTTTGCTCTTTGGCTTTCCTGGCCCGGGGTTCTTCCTCTTTGATTCGCTTCTCCAGATGGACGATTTTGATCTTTGCCTGCTCTTGTTCAGTTGCCGCAGCCGTGGCCCTGTTTCTCGCGTCTTGTAGTTGTCCTTGGTAACCGTTCTCCTGTCCTTCCTTGGACGCAACACCAGTTTGCAGGGTTTGTAGCAGCTCTTCCTTGGTGTCAGCTTCTTGCCTCTGCTTTTCAAGCGTCTCCTTGGCGGCATCGTATTTCGCCTTGATCTTCTCGTACGTCTTCGTCTTTTCCTTCAGCGCCGCTTCCAGGTCGGCAACGTTCTTCTCTCCAGCTTTCCTCCGTTCTTGCTCCTCCTTCATACTGCTCTTCTTCAAATCCACAACAGTAGCAAGCCTTACCAGCTCGTTGGCGTGCTTCTTCACTGCTTCTTCCAGGGCTTGCGCCTTGCCACCTTTTCGTAACTCCTTGTCGCGCTGTGCCTTAACCCGTTGTAAGTCCTCCTCCAGATGGGATATCTCATTTTTCAGCCGGATAGCAGATTCCTCAAGTTCTTTCTGGCGCTGCTTCTTCGTCTCAAGATCCGATGCTGACTGTTGTAGCTTCTCCTGACACCTTACGTAATCGTGCGCCACCACGAGCCTTGTTAATCGCTCCAGGTCGTTTTGAGTTTGCTGAAAGTCGAGGAATGCGCGCTTTTCGGTTCGTAGCTTCTCCAGTTTCGGTTCGATCTCATCCCGCAAGAGTTCTTTGATCTCCTGTAACTTCATCTCCTTCTTGGCCATCGTCTTGAGTGCTTTGTCCCTCCTGTCCTCGAACATCCTTGTGCCAGCTGCCTCCTCGATCATGGCCAGGATTTCAACGGCCTTCATATTCAAAACTTTTGTGATGCGGCCCTGCATGATGAGGAAGTTGGGGTTGTTGATATTGAGTTGAACCGATTGGAAGAGGTTCTGTACGGTTTGTTGCTGCGCACGATGACCGTTGATCAGGTATTTTGAAGTGCCTCCGAGCACGATTTGGCGGGTAACGCTAATGGTCGCATACTCCTCGAATCCGATTGGTGACTTTTTCTTGTCTCTATTGTCGAACACTATTGTGACGCTGGCCTTCGTGACGCCGGCTTGGCCTCGTTTGTAGATAAGATCCTGCAGGTTTTGAGCGCGGACTGTTGACATATTGGTGATACCGAGGACGAAGCAGATGGCGTCGAGGATGTTGGATTTACCGCTGCCGTTGAGGCCGGTAATGGAGTTGAAGCTCTCGTCCCTGTGACGGCCGGTTAGTTATGCAGTTGGGAGGATGTCTTTCATCGCTATGATGGATTTGTGCCCTTACCATCCCGAAATTACCGTTCTAACGGCGTACGACTTGAAGCCCTATGCGACGCACGGATATGTCAGCTCTGTCACGACTTCAAGTTGTCCCATCCCACGCTCTGTCCGGTCGCGACTAACGGCACCGTGGAGAAACACGTACGTCGATAATGACTTCGGTAACCCTCATTCTGGCGTTGTCGTGGTTTTTGGCCCAGGGATCGTGGTGGTTCGGACTTTGGCGCTGCTGTAAGAAACGCCCGCGCCTGCCCGAACAATTGCAACAAGATCGGAAGATGGACCCAACGTTTGTTTACTTTTCTCAGGCACCACAGGGTTTGGGGGAAGGGCGGGGTGTGGGCCAGGACTGGGCGCCCTGCATTCACGTCTGCACGTGCCCGTCTGCCCCTGGCGCGATGCTCACAAAGGTGGAGATTATGTAGCAAGTGGCTCTCTGCGACACTGGGTCCGTGCAGTGCTCTGGCTATGTATACCCCTTTTTGGTCCATCACCATTTATTCAAAGCGACGCGAGTACAAGATTGATCATCCCCGAATTTTAAGTACTCTTCTCGTTTTGCATGATTCCGTGCGTCTAGTAAGTATAATGTCTGTTATCATGATGACCCTTTCGTCGACAAAGATCCCAAGTAACTCGGCTTGGCGCACAAAAGATCAGGAAGCTCTACGCGGGATCCTATTCTCCGTCTTAAGAGGCCTTTGATTCGGCCTGGAGCAGTAAATCATTACGTACCAAAAGACAATGCGAAACGGGCCTGATTTGTACATGGCGCAGAGCCAAAACACATTGTGGGGCCTTTCCTTTAAGTGCACGGCATGGAGGCAAGGCATGGCCCCCGCTATGGTTCTTGGCCCTGAACTGGCCGACGGGAGCCCCCTCCGGGATACCTATGGGAGCCTCCAGGGCATTCAGGCCACAGGCCGGGGACGCCGCCAACTAGAACACAGTGGCACGACTGGTGAGTGGGAACCTGGACGGCACGTTCCTGCTTCCGCATCGATTCCTCCAGCTCGTCACAACCTAGCGAAGTGGAAGCTCTTGGACCTCTCACCCTCCAGCTTTCCCATCAAACTGAACGTCTCCCGTTCGAGATCACTGTTCGGCTGTTGGTGGCATTTTTTGATTTCGTGACGCGCAGTTCCATTAACCACCTAATCGCAACGACCTGTTACCCGCCATACCTTTGTCTCGACGTCCTACCAGATCCGATCTCCAGCCAAGCTTCAACCGATTGGGCCATCACCTCGAGCAATCCGTCTTGATCAATAAACTTACAAAGAGAACTCCACGTTACGGCACATCTCGAGAGGAAAAATAAACGAAGCGAGGGCACTCATAGCGTTGCGACCAGTGCCCATAATCTCCAGCAGTCACACACTTGCAAAGAGAATAATAACAGCCTAGCAGCAAGGGGCACCCTCTCCATGGTTCCTCGAACAACTGCTATCTGATGCTCCCTTCGAACCACGAACCATAAGGCGCCGAGGTTTGCGCCCTCCCTGCGAGGACACAATCAACACAAAGCCATGAGTCTCTCGCAGCGCCCCCCTTCGAGTGCTCTCTTGCCGGCTTCAGCAGAGGTGGATGATAACTCTCTTCGGCCACGGAACCGCCGCGTAGCGAGCAACCGGAATAATGCAACATCATCCTCCCTCTACTCAAGTCCGAGCAGGACCTCAGACAGAGGGGCCTCGCCGATTCCCGCCGCACGTATAGGAGATGTTACTGGGAGGAACGATTCTAGACTCGAGGTCGCGGCGGGCTCCGCTCGTACAAGTAGCCCCAGGGGTGGCCGTGGTCTGCTCGATGGCTCGTGGGCTTCAACGTGGGCCTCCGTTCAGGAGTTTACCACATCACTGCTGACCGGTGGAGAATCATATCATACCGGGTCAGAAAGGTTGGCAACTCAAACCGCTGGGAAACAAAAGAGCTCCAGCAGTTGGGGTCCCGAACCACCAAACGAGTCGAGGCCACGCTTGGAGGATGTTGGATCAGGATCATTAACCGAGCGGGAGGGGCGTCTCAGGGCCCTTAGGACAGCAAGTGTACTTGAAAGCCACGAGGGGGTCAATGGTGGCCTGGATGTTTCCAGGAGGTTCAAGAAGCGTAATTCAGACGAGGATTTGCGAGAAGCTTCTCAGAGTCAGGAAGCAGCGGAGCACCTGGTGTACATTCACCATGTACAACCTACCGATACCTACGCCGGGATTGTGCTTCGCTACAAGTGCCGTGAAGACGCATTCCGTAAGGCCAACGGCCTATGGTCTCGAGACAATATTCAGATACGCAAATGGCTTGCAATTCCTGTCGATGCCTGCGAGATCAAGGGGCGCCCTTGCGAAGGCCCCTCATTTTCCGGGGCTCAAGTTGATTACTTGGCCCGTACGCCGGAAGGAACTGATCCATTTGGGCGAGACAACTCCAACAACCGAGAGTTTTTTGGCCCCTCAACCAACGACCAAGGCAGGGACGACACATTACCAACAAATGATGACGAGCGACCATGGACACATGTGCGTTGGGTATCACTCGACTCGTTTCCTAATCCTGTTGAGGTCGCACGAGTAGAACGTAAGGTTCTGGGATACTTTCCCCCGCGTCGGAGGAAGAGCATTAACACCACTTCCACAATGACGTCGCCTAGGACGTCAATGGACGTACCGGGTACCACCCTAAGTGGAGAGACCGGTCCTATGAGTCCCGGCAGCATATCTTCTCGCCGAACTAGTCTTATGGGAAGCCGTCCTAGTCTTGTTGGAGATGATGCGCGGCCAGCATGGATGAGACGGCCGGGAGGTGTAGGCTCGCTGCGGAATGTAAGAGCACCCGGGCCCGAGAAGGATTATTTCAACACGTGGACAAATAAACATCTACCGGGCCTCAACATTGACTCTCTACCGTCCATGGCTGTTTTGGGTGCTGAAACTGCCCGCCTCGGTTTCCACGGCGCTGAAGAGCACCCAACTATTGTGGAGAGTCCTTTTGAAGACGGAGGCGATGCCTCGAGGCTAAACGGTCAAGGGTCCACCGGCCTCGATAAAGCAGCTGCGGCGGTCGAGAATTGGCTACGAGGCGCCTTTGTCAAACGACCATTAGGAACGCCTTCTTTAGGCGTACCGAAACGATCGCCTCTTGGGGCAGAAGAAGGCGACCTCATCGAGCTTACCGACACTAATAGTGACGATGATCGAGGAGGCACTGTCAATCCTACGTCTAACAATTTACAGGACACAGGACTGTCGAATTTTGAAGTCGGTACCTCTGGAAGAAGCGCTACAATGGGCGGGAGTGGAATGATGAGAGGGAGGTTCCCCAGCGGCAGTCTTGCTGGGAGGGATAAGAAGGCAGACTAATTGTAGCTTTGGACAGATAGATCGCTCGTTTGCATCGGATCTCGGGTAATTTGCGGCTTTGAAATCATGACGGGGGATCCCCACTCATGATGAGCATGTTATCACAGTCAAGTTTAATGGCGTCCTCTTTCTGCATCATAGGGGGCCAGCAAAGTTGGCCAAATTTGCATTAATATTTATCTTGGCGGTTTTGTGTATATCGAGAATTAGAGCGAAAGCGGGCACATCCAAAGCAATCACTAGACCATAGGATTACCGAAAGGTATATTTCTTATGCACCATGAACCAGCGTTTTGATTTGGACAACGGCGGCACAATTCTAGACATCGATGCGATGGACGAGATCATTTGGCCAATATAAGGATGAATATCGTTGACGGACGCTTGACCTCAATTCGAGCCCCTGAAATGGTACGCCTGGTGAAGCAGCATCAAAACTGTACAACATATACACATTAAACCCTAACCCAGCGCTTACTATGTGAACCAAAGGTGGACTAACACTGAATGAATCGCTGTGAACGCCAAGAACTCACCCTCAGCATCATCCACGGCGGAAACATTGAGGCACGCCATCAAATCACAACCGGTTAAATTCATCACAACACTTACGAACCCTCTACGACATTTTCAATCAGGATACACACTTACCCCCATCAGCCTCGTCTCTGCTCAATCTCGCGGTCCGAATGCCGATTTGCATCGAATGCAGACACCCTGTGAAGACGTTATGGAGGGAGGGCGCAGGTGACAAGTCGACAGGACACAACATCCGATTGACGGTGTGCAAGAACTGCGGCCGCTTCTGTGACAAATATGTCGAGCATGACTTTGTCGTACTCTTCATTGATCTTGTCTTGATCAAACCGCAGGTATGTGATGAATACAGTCAACCAATCAGTCAATGCACTTGATACATCAAGAGGTGCTCCAGTAAGCACAAGCTTGAGCACTTGAGAAGTGAAAGGTGACTTTCATTTGGAGATACCAGAGCTAAAACACCATTGATGGCCATAGGTCTATAGACATTTACTTCACAACACCTTGATGAAAGACGAGGATGAATTTGCAGTACGTGTTTGGGTGCCCATTTTCATCTTACAGGTGTTTCCGTCGCTAACATAGCGGACTTGTCTTGAAAAGCCTTCCATCATCCGCCTCGGAGTTCTTCTCCTTCTCTTCGATGTCTATCTCACTTGGGCACGCATCGAAAAGCAATCAGTTCCGACCGTCAACAGTGTAGATGGCACAGCATCGCCCGGTATGAACAGCGCAAGCGTGAGCAACTTTGGTCGTCTAGCTCAACAACCCATTGTGCTACAGTACATGTTCTTCCGTACGTCCTGTCCTATTGCAGAACGAGATTCCCCCCTTTTTTTTTTCTCGACAGTTCTCCTCTCAACATGCTAACTCTGGGAGCACACAAAAAGTTCTCCTCTGTACCCTCTCAACCCTCGCCTTCCACGGCTCCATCCGTTTCCTCACCTCCAGCCGGTACTCTCCTCTCCACCTCCTCGGCATTCTCCCGCAGTTCAGCCGGCCCAACTCGGTCTCGACCGCGCTTCTCGTTTCGTCTTCCACCAAGTTATTCCCCATCCTGATGGTAATATGGGAATACGACGTTCCTGCGGCGGCGCGATCGCTCGGCTGGGCCGTGGTGGCTAACAACGTCGAGGCGCTCAAGATCTTGCTGGACTGCAACTACGGCGTGGCGACGCTGCTGGCGACGGCGGGCGCGCTGAGCCGGTGGGCCATGGGAAGGGCGATCTTATGGGCGGCTGGGCTGGATGGCGTGGACTCGGTCGGGGAGCATAGCGTGGCGGAGGAGGGGAGGGTGTTGGGTTCCCTGTTAATGTATGCAAAGGATTGGCTCGGGAGGCTGGCTGTTGGTTGATCTTTGTGGGTTTGGAGTGATTCTTTGAACACAGGTCACGTCTCTCTCTGCCTAATCAAGCCTCGGGAAGGTGTATTTTGCAGTCGTCTGGTCAGAGGAGCAGAGCGATGCAACAAAGAATTGTACTGAATGTAAATTTCTCAAACGGCCTTATCATCTTTCAGAACGATGACGGACCACACAGTGTCTGCCGTTGTAGAAGCCAACTCATCAAGGCCCCCTCTCCCAATGTTTCTGATGATGCACCAAGGTTTTGAAAGTTGCATATTCCGCCCAATAACGCCATGCCCGCCTTCTCCGATAATGTGTATAAGTGTTGGTTGGGGTATACATACAACCTTAGCAATGCCACAAGTCCAGGTCTCGTCTTCCGGAACTGTCACTCCCATCCTTCTTCTTCCCTTTTTCTGGTCATCATTATTGCCCAGCATATGCCAGACGTGGGTGTCTTTCTAGCCTCGATGGTTTCTCGTCTCTCACCATCTTCTTGTCGTGTACGTCATTGTCATTGCCGCCGTCTTATTTCGCTTCAGTGGTGAATGTATTCTTTGCGCAAATCGGAACGTCTGGGTTCGATGAGGGGATGTAGTTGCGCAAGGAAGGTGATAGCCCACATGAGATAACAGCTGACGAAGGCGAGGATGAGGGACGATCGCCATAGTCTGCGCGGTTCGAAGAACATGTTAGCTGATGTTCTTGGAAAACAGCGTCGGCCATTACGGCTCGGGGCAACACAACACACCAGACAGGCGAAGGAAGAAAGAAAGTACGTACACTTGGTTCTCACCCTTGGGCGAAAAGACCCAGGCGGCCACACACATGCCGGCGACAATCACCAGGCCGATGATAATACTCCATCTGCGCGCCGAAAGCAGGACGTCAGTTCAAAGTCGCAGCGCGATTCGGCAACGGAAAATACAGGGCTGGGAGGACTAACCCGTTCGCCATTTTTCCAGTATCTTGGTTGGCAATTCTTTGGATACGGCCCAGAAGCGATGATTGTAGATATGGAGTGTAAAAGGTCAAAGCGGGTTCGTGATGGTTCGCTGTTGTTGTTGTTGTTGTCGGTCTGGTTGGGGTACCTGGTTGGATCGCGGATGATGTCGATGGCGGATTCACAACCGTCCAACCTCAGGCGATGCAGCGGCAGGCTGGCAGCGCTGGCGCGCAGCTAATCCCTACTTGTACCCTACAGGAGCAGTGGCAGGAGCCTCAGTTGCGCTGAGACGGGGGATGTAGCGGCATCCCATGTCGCAGTACCTAGACTAGGAAGGTAGGTAGTACTGCCCGTACCTAGAGGTACACACTACGCGCCATTGAGCTGCTGACTAAGGTGCTTTTCAGTATAGTCGCCAATACCTTCCACTTCTGCAGTATGGCCGTATGACCGACTCGATCTCAGCTTCAGTATCACTGTTTTGGAGGTCTTCTCAGATTGTGTACTTGTTCTATACCTTTGGATTTTGTTGATGACCAATCGCAGCAGTTTTACAGACATTTTGGTTACTTGAAATTGAATTTCATGGTATCGTTTACTTCCGTGTTGATCCCGGGGCGACGAAGCTCCATGAACATCACCGGCCGGTTGCCCGAACCCCTCATTCGGCTCTACATCAACAACGACTGGAAGACCCCGGATCTCGGATTAACTTGTGTGATCTGGACTGGTATAAACGAAGATGTAACCCTTTGTCATCTCAAGTTCACAAATCCAAACTTGTCTCTGACTTGCAACCCCCACCCTGTAGCAACAACCTCTCTAGTGGTGTTAGGCGCTGAGATAGCCTTCGATCTGCCACCCTAACTTGAATACCTCTAAGCAGCGATATCTTACAGGAGTGATAAATACCGTGCCGAGCAGCAAACATGGCTCCGAGATTGTTTTGGATCGGATTGGGCAACATGGGACGGGTGAGCATCACGTTGACAGCTTCGATGTTGCAGCAGGAGCATATCTGACACCTGCATAGGGAATGTCCGCAAACATCGTGGGAAAAGCGAACCTCGACCAGCCGCTCCTGATCTATAACCGTACCAAGCAAAGGTGCATCGATCTCAGCGAGAAGCTGCCCGCCGGAAAGACGGAAATCGTTGACTCCATTGCAGAGGGCGTGAGCAAGGCGGACATCATCTTCAACATCCTCTCCAATGACGCGGTGGTGGAAGCATCCATCGCTGAGATTCTGAAGAATGACGTCAAGGGCAAGCTTATTATCGAGTGCTCGACTATTCACCCCGATACGACTGAGAAGATTGCTCAGCAAGTCGAAGCTGCGGGAGCTCAATTTGTTGCAGCTCCTGTCTTTGGTGCCCCAGCCATGGCGGACGCGGGTCAGCTCGTAGGTGTCCTGGCAGGACCCAAGGCCTCGGTGGACAGAGCTAGGCCTTACTTCAAGGGGGTCACAGCCAAGGCCGAGATCAACATGAGCGACGAGCCTTATCGCAAGGCATTAACGCTCAAGCTCATCGGAAATACCTTCGTTCTCAACATGGTTGAGCAACTCGCCGAGGGCCACGTCCTAGCTGAGAAGTCCGGGTTGGGCACGGACTACTTGCACCAGTGGATCGAGGGCATGTTTCCGGGTCCCTATGCGGCCTATTCGACTCGGATGCTCACGGGGGATTATCACAGACGCGAATACCCTCTCTTTACCGTCGATCTTGCGAGGAAAGATGCAGGCCATGCGATGAGCCTTGCAAAGGAGGCAGGTGTAAGGTTGCACAATGTGGAAACGGGCGATGCCCACCTCGCTGAGCTCAAGGCGCATGTTGGAGAGAAGGGTGATATCGCCGGTATCTATGGCGCGGTCAGGATGGAGAACGGCTTGCCATATGAAAACGAGTAAGCGTGGAGCTGTAATATCTCTAGAAGTATTGGGGTCTAAGCACTGAAGAGTACAGCTGTCAAGACTGGGGTGGCCGCTGTGATATTTGTATTTTGGAAGGGTAACTTGTTATCAGATGATCTGATTACCCCTGGTGTGGAGTAGCGACGGAAGAAATCTGGAAGCTCCAATTTGTGGGGTTTTTTGCTTGACACACAGCGCATCTCGGCCAACCAATTGGAGCAACAACTGCGGTCACTGCGTGTATCCTCCCGGGCAGTAGTGGCACCAGCCCCGGCCGTCCCTCGTGGTTGACGCATCAAGTACAAGACACTGACGGCTTCTGCTTTTCAACATTGAGTGCCGTCTGATCCCAATTGATTCTCTTGTATAGTGGAACACAGCTGGGCATGACTGTGTCGTTGATTCTCAGGCTCGCACTGGTTGGTATTTTAGGTCGGGCGAGCCTGTAAAGAGTATCATCGGGCTCTGTCAAGTTCATGACGGAATTTCGTCAGTCAGCCAGCTCTTACCGTCCGTCATCACGCCAACAACAGATTCATGAGCCATGTTTGTGCGAACTTGCCGCAGCTCGTGCAATGCATGGACCAACGCTACATCTACAACGCAGGCAGGCTCTCTTTCGCCCCCAAATGCTCATCGCTCTGTCGTTCTCACACTCTCACTCCAGGCTTGTTCTGCGAGAACACATGAGTCGCTGATACGTTCTTTCGCATCAACGACATCCCAGTCAAAACGTCAAGAAGCCGAAGCGGAGGAGAAGCGCCAAGTGAGCCCCCGATTGGGGCCATCTGCACCCAGAAGCTCGTACCCCTCGTCTGCTGAAGCGAGACAAAAGAGAGACAGTGACAGAGTATGATCACCTCCCGTCAGCTATCGGGTCCTTCTCTCACCTGTTCTCATTCTTCATGACTGACCCTCTGTGCAGGAGTTCCTTATTTCCGTTCTTGAGTCGTCGGCCACAAAGCGCGATGCGCGAGGTTATCTTCAAACTTTCGGTTCTTCCGCAGCCCTAACGAGCGCTGGGCAGAAGAAACCGTCCACCATCGGTATATTGGGTGTCCCAGCCTCTGTGGCCGGTAGGCCTGCTTTTGTTCAGGGAACAGAAAAGGAAATTCCGGTCAAGAGAAACGAAGCACCCCATGTGGCCGTCGTGAAGTTGAGGGCACCACAGGCGTGGGATGATGTCCTCCTTGAGGGTGTTGCCAAGACCCTCACTAGACTGAGAGATCTTGGTCTGCTCAGTGTGATAGTCCTTGATTGTGACGACATTAAGCCCAATCAAGCTTCTAGCTGGCACAAAACTGTCACAGAACAGACGGATAGACTCTTGAGAGCAATTGGTCAGTATGGGTTCCCGGCCGCCGAAGTGGTTGACTCGGGCATATGGAAGTCAACTGAAAACCCCCAGATCCCATCTTCTGTCCCCTCCAACCCCCTTTACGTGGGGTTCGGTAAGGCGTTTACTACGCCACTTGCTAATGGTCACATACTGGTCGTCCCGCCACGAGCATACTCCGACGCGTCTCTCCAATACTCTAAAGCTGATGCCAATGACATTGTTATTGCCCTAACGACCTTTTTCGCGGGATTGCAGTTTGGCCGACAATATTCGGACTACCGGGAGTTGGCGGGGAAGGTCAGCGACGGCCAGTCTTTCCGAAAGGCTTTGGTTGATCGGGTTATCGTTATCGATCCTTTGGGTGGCATCCCATCCCACAGACAAGGCCATGGCACCCAAGTTTTCATCAATCTGGAAGACGAATTCAAGAATATCCAAGACGCTCTCTACGAAAAGACTCAACCTACTTCGGCAGGAACGAAAGACGCTGGTGTCAGTGCCAGGGCTACGGTACATCTGGAAAACCTACGGCTCGCCAAATCCACATTGGCCTTGCTTCCATCAAACGCATCCGTGGTGATGACCAGTCCTGCAGAGGCTGCAAATATCAATGTATCAAGGCGTGGCCAGCTTGAAGCCAAGCCCGATGGGTTCGCGGGTGAAGTAAAGACGAGAACCTGGCGCAATCCCTTGATACACAATCTACTTACCGACCGACCCATCTACTCATCATCGCTTCCTATCGGCCGAATCAAGCCCACGCACCAAGATGAGGAAATTGCTCTGTCCCGGATGCCCACAACTACCCTAGCCAAGAGAGGACTGCCAGTAACCATCTTCCCTGATCCGCGGGTGAACCGCTGGCAGCCACCGCAACCTGGTGTTCCCAGACTCAGGTTGACAGATACGTGTATCGATTTACCGAGGCTGGTACATTTGATCAATGACTCCTTCGGAAGAAAACTCAACGTCGAACACTACCTTGACAGACTCAAGGACAGCCTCGCGGGAATCATCATAGCTGGAGAGTACGAGGGCGGCGCGATTCTTACGTGGGAGACGCCATTTGGGCTTGACGAAGAGACGGCTTACCGGGAAGGCCGTCTCGTGCCGTATCTTGACAAATTTGCGGTTCTACGCAAGAGTCAAGGAGCCGGTGGCGTGGCAGATATTGTGTTTAACGCCATGGTTCGTGACGCTTTCCCAGACGGCGTTTGCTGGAGGAGCAGGAAGGACAACCCGGTCAATAAGTGGTACTTTGAGCGATCTAGGGGCGTGCTGAAGCTGCCGGAGAGCAACTGGGCCATGTTCTGGACGACTCCGGAGGCGGTTTCAAAAGACCAGATGATGAGAGACTATGAAGATGTGTGCAGGAATATTGCACCTTCTTGGGCCGACACCACGAAACCAGCTGACTGAGGAATAGCTTCGGGTCATTGGAGATAAGTGCATGGATGTAGGTTTGGGCATACGATAGGACTGGCGATGAGAGGCGCGTTTCAGTCGAGCTTTTCTTGGGAAACTATGGGGTTATGTGCCATGTTGAACTAGAAGAAGGACGTTATGGAAACCGTATATCTTGATTCTTGATTTAGGACGCCCATCTCACTCGCCAGCTTTTCTTCACAGTGGGCGACGTGCTTTCATGATGCGAAAACGTATTCGAAATGAATGTGACAGTCGACGGCCAATCAAGTCATTCGAGCCTTCAAGGTGTCGTACTCCACGTGCACAGTCAGACAGTCTCCCAAGATGACAAGGACCAGTGGGGTTGCTGGTGGGACTCCTTCCAGGCGCCATCCATCAGCATCTCCCCTGGACTCTAGCACACCTCACCAGAAGAGGAGCTCCATTTGAATTACACGAGGCAGCCAACATTCAAATACTCGGCGCACCTCCTCGATCAAGTGAACGTCTCAACCCACTATCGCAGCCGATTACAGACCATCGAAGTTCTCGTCGCCACTAAAGACTATCTCATCATGGACATGTTCAAGGGTTTCCAGAAGAACCTAGGGTAAATAACTTGCCCCGCCGGGCCATACTCTTCCTTTCATCCTTTGGGTACAGACAGTCACGGTCATCTGGTATGCTAACTTGCTTGTCGATTGCAGTTCTTGGGGTGGGCAAATCGCCCCCATCGCCTCGCGCACTGTTCAATTCACCAAGGAGCAGCTGGGTCAGGCCGAGGATAAGGTCAGCAGCAACTGAGAGTCGCTACTCACTATGGCTTGGGATGGCTGACAGCTCTCGCGACAGACTCAATTGCCCGCCGAGTACATCGAGCTCGAGAAGCGTGTCGATGCGATCAAGGCTGTTCACCAGAAGATGCTCGCTGTGACGTAAGCTGCTTTCTATCTACATTCCGCCTGGTCATTATCGGGTGCTGTGAAGCTGATTTGGCTATCCGTTCAACAGCTCCCAATACTCGCACGAGCCCTACGATTACCCTCCCAACATCAAGGAGACCTTCCAGGATCTCGGCCGCACCGTCAGCGAAAAGGTTCAGCTTTTGTCGTCGGCGACCTCGACCGCTGAGGCGCAGGCTGCCCTCACTGCTCCTCCCAGCGCCAAGCCGCAGCCCAAGACATTCAACCATGCTATCGCTCGTGCCAGTTTGGCGAGTAGCCAGCTTTTGCACCAACAGCATACCGGTGCTGGAGAGGATCCTTTGGCCACGGCTCTTGAGAAGTATGCTCTCGCCATGGAGAGCGTTGGCGAGGCTCGTCTAGCCCAGGACGCGCAGATCCAGAGCCGCTTCCTCGCTGGATGGAACACCACGCTTAACACCAACCTTAAGTTTGCTACACGCGCCCGTCAGAACGTCGAGAAGGCCCGTCTTAACCTTGATGCCGTCAAGGCGCGCGTCAAGGGTACTACCTGGAGGTTGCCTGGAACCGCCGCCTCCGCCCACGACGAGCATGAGCTCAGCCCTGAGGCGCAAGAGGAGATTGAGAAGGCGGAGGACGAGTTCGTCACCCAGACCGAGGAAGCTGTGGCTGTTATGAAGAACGTGAGTGGCTCCCCATTATTCAGTTCATTTCTTGCTTGATAACTGACACACGGATGTGTACTAGGTGCTCGATACCCCTGAACCGCTACGCAATCTTGCCGAGCTCATTGCTGCCCAAATGGAATTTCACAAGCGGGCTCACGAGATTCTGAGCGAGCTTGCGCCCGTCATTGACGGACTGCAGGTCGAACAGGAGGCAAGTCGTGCTTCGACGTACTCTTTGTAGTAAACCCTGGGCCTTCCTTGTGCTAACTGTTGCCGTTGTCGCCACAGGCGAGCTACCGCAAGAGCCGCGAGAATGCTTAAACGATTCAGATCTTGGGAAGAAGGAGAGAGGTTCATCAGGTAGTATACACGTCGACGGAAGTGACCCGTGGGATTCTCTAAGAGCTATGAACTCGGATACCCTAGGTACAAGGCACCATGGGTGATAATGGCATGTTTAGGCGCTTTGGTACACTAATCATACCATGTCCATGGACTTGGCCATTGGTGACGGACCAGACCCTGTCGATTTGTTTCTTACACTATGCCAGATATGTTATCAAATCAAATGCTGGCTGAACTATCTGCTTGACTCCAATCATCATTATAGCTTGCTACCTTTTGCGATTGAACAAGTCGAATGCGTTGAGGGCAGCACCTCTGATCTTTATGTCCTAAATCAACCAGAATCCCTTCATTGCCTTCACAGACATCTCTGATCGGGTGGAACTTTCGCAGTACGTCGGCTGTCAAACCTTTCCCAGTCCTAGTCCCTTCCCGTGCAGCTAGCTCCCTCTCTAGAAGACAGACCCCTACCTATCTTCGATACTAAATACATTATATACATTATCTATGCAATCAATTCGATATCGCGCAAGATATCGACCCGAGTTTCTAAACCTGCATCGGAGGTGCATTGTAACAAGTATGTCAAAGGCCTCGAAGGGAATGCCGGCTGCTTTTGCGTTCTGTCATGGAGACTATCTCGTAATAATAACGGCAAATCATAGCGTCACGGGCGTGTGGCTCAGTTGGTAGAGCGTTCGCTTAGCATGTTTTACCGCATGCGAAAGGTCCTGGGTTCGATTCCCAGCTCGTCCAAATTTTTTTACTTTTGCGGTCCTTCCAACCTTGTTATTGTATCTGATGGTCTGGTTGCCTTTTTCTACTATAGTCAAGACTTGCACACCATTTGTCCGTCTACTATCGTAGCTTCAGACCGAAAGTCCTGCCGTTGCGAGCAAAAGTTTTACCTCCCTGATAGGTACTCTACACGAACCACTATAGCCAAAGCTTCGTGGGCACTGTGTGTTCGACGACCTGATCCACGGGTTTAACTTACCCATCTCACTATAGTAGGAAGTGTTTCGAGAAAGGAAAGCTACTAGCGGTGAGCACCAATGCACCAAGAAGGATATGAGAGGACTAGAGACTTTCATCTTACTCGTAAGGTCATACTTCTTAGTAGATGAACGGAAGAGATCCTAGAAGGTATCCGCTCGGGAACTTCTGTAGAACCTGTCCTTTTTTCAATTATTCCGTTCTGACTGGCATCTTTACAGGTGCTGACACCCGTTACCAAAGTCAGGACAGTGACCCAAAAAGTTATTTCCAGTCATCCTCTAACCAGAGCTGACCTGCATTTTATCAAGGTTGTATGGACGGGAAGCCAACATGAACTTTGGTTACAATTCAGGGATAATCTTGTCTTTATGTCATTTACATATCACAGTGACGTCCTCTTTCCCTCTTGTTTCTATCAGGTCTTATTCTCGACCATAATGAACACGGCCAGGGCACATTGTCAAAACCGACTCAGCTATCGAAGTAGAAAGTTTGTGTAGGGCGTTCTACATTTTATTAACTCAACGGACTAATATGCAAAAACTCCTCAAACTGTGGCACTTACTATTACTCTTAGGGGCGCGAGTTCACCAGGACACTGGGCTTAGAGAAGACGGGGGACACGGCAGATTAGGAAATAGACGGCAAAATCAGCGAAGAGTAGTGTCACAGGGTTTGCTCAACCGTGACATCGCTATATAAGCGTGCATTAGATGTTCTGTCCAGCGAACAGAACATTCTTCCATCTTTTGGTGGTTTGGCCTAGGCAGTGCACGCCTTAGTTCCGTGACAAGTAGGATGCGTTTCGTTGTTAGATCCCACATATTGTAAGGTTCAACAAATCCCTTTAACACGATATATATGATAGTGCTATAGTCTCGAGTTCCAAACTATTTTTAAACAGTCCACTGTTCCTAGTAAGGGCTTCAATATGGACTGACGGAGAACGTTTATTTTACTAATTTACTACAGCCTGCTAGTACCATAACACGTACTCTACCTACGACAAATATACACTAGATATAGAGGTAAAGTCTAATGTCTTATTAGTCTCCGAGACTTCTTATTCAACTTTGAAATGTTGGAGGTTAATTAGTCCGGCTATCATTTTCTATATTTAACTCAGGCCTTAACTAAGCTCAAGTGTCGTTTGACAGGAACTCCTCTCAAGGGTTATGTCAAACGGATTCACTCAATACGCGCTTGACATGCCTATGAATTACAGAAGACTGCTGGGAGTTCTGACTTTGAGCTCCAGCTATAGGGTACAAAGCGTAAACACTGTATTACTCATTCAGGGCGTGTGGCTCAGTTGGTAGAGCGTTCGCTTAGCATGTTTCACCGCATGCGAAAGGTCCTGGGTTCGATTCCCAGCTCGTCCACCATTTTTGACTCGATGTCTTTTTGCTCCCGCACTTTTCTTGAAATTACTTGGATCTGGATGACAGTATTTCCAGTTGCTGTTAGAGCCTTTTTTCTTATTGCTACTCTAAAGCTCTAGATAACAAATATACGTTTGACATTCATTCCTTTTTGGCTGTCCCAACTTTTCTGTACACTAGTGTATCTCCGGTTGCCGGTTGGCTATTTAATTTTCGGCTCCCAGATATCCTGGTAAACCATGTCATTGCTCCACGCTACATTTGTTAGGTACTACATAAGCTGTTGCGGCCGGCAAGCTCCAGCTACGCCACGGCGCCAGGACAGGCTTCCCGTCGCGGGCGCACTTCCCTTTGGTCGCTACATCCAACACGTCAACTTCTCCTTTTGGTCTCCGTCGCAACGACAACAGACAGCCTAAATAACGGCTGTCGATTTTCAAACTCTTTACCATGGTACGTCGAATTCTCGTTGCACATAGCGTCACTTCGGTATCCCTCTTGGAAATGTACTAATCTTTTGCTCTCTCGCAACAAACAGCTACCGTTAGGCATCCTCACCGCGGCGCAAGGCCACCCCATGCTCGTTGAGCTCAAGAACGGCGAAACCCTCAACGGCCACTTGATCCAATGCGATACATGGATGAATCTGACACTAAGGGAGGTTGTTCAGACCAGCCCGGTGAGTGCTACCTCTTACCTCCGTCCCTCCGTCCCTTCGTTGGAGCGATGATGCACAGTGATGATGATGAGCGAGTGGATGAAACAAGCAATCCAACAAGTCGAAGAGAATGTCGGGGACAAGGCAGCTTACCAACAAACTTTACATGACGTAATAGGAAGGCGATAAGTTTGTGAGGTTACCAGAGGTTTACGTCAAGGGAAATAACGTAAGTCTCGACATTATCCTGCCCCCCACTTCTCTCTCTTTCTTGCCTCTTGCCAGGAACGATCAATCGACCAGCGGTTTCTAATGGTTATGGGGACAAACAGATCAAATATCTTCGAGTACCGGACGACGTGATCGACATTGCAAGGGAGCAGCAACACAGCCAACACGGTGGACACAGAGGCGGCCGCGGCGGCGGACAGAACAGAGGCGATTATGGCGGCCGTGGCGGCCGTGGCGGACGAGGAGGGGGCGACAGAGGTGGTCACAGGGGAGGCCGCGGCCGTGGCAGGGGCGCATGAGGTGGAATTCCATGTTCTTGGGACAGCGAGCGAGGCTTAACGACCACCCAACGCAGGGAAGTACGGCCTTTAATATGACACGATCGATGAACGAGAGGCGCGAGGGGCCGCCGCCATTGCGCGTAGGGTTGAGAGGAAAGGGGTGGAGAGCATCAGCCAAGAAAGAAACATGGGCTGCATTTTGCACGGTCCGAATGGGCTTTCACACGAAACCCAGGCGGGGTTGAATGGGGCACGAAGGCCATCTCCAGCGACAGACATGCATGATGGCTCATGGGCAGTCGTCGTGTGGGCTTCTTGGAAGAAGGCCTGGCTCGGACACATAGACCGGACTAGGTGTTCGATTCATCAGCATGGAAATTACGGCAAGAAGGATATGACTATTTCAAAGCAAAAGATACCCAAGCTTGAAGTTCCTGGTTGTTTTTCTCTTGGGCCTGACACAAAAGGCACATTGTATCGCATCATCGTCCTTTGAGAGATTCTTTTCCGTTACCAACAAGTATTGAAAGGATTACAAAACTGGCGGCATCCTGAAACCTCTATGTCACACAAAAATGATACACTCCGCGGGCGACTTGTTGCAGTTTTTGAGACAACGAAATAATTGCCCATGGCAAGGAAACAGGCGGTACGGAGCGGTTACGACTATGACAGGAGTCCCTCCAAAAAAAAATAATAAAAAATCTCAAAAGTTGAGGTCGTACCCGGAATCGAACCGGGGTTGCCGGAATGTTCTGAAGGCAATCAGAATCCGGAGTGATAACCGCTACACTATACAACCTTGTGAGTTGTTTTTGTTGAGTTTTTCATTTGCCTAATTTCCTATAATGCCCATTACTAATCTTTGGCAAGCCACTAAACTAGTTATATAATCTCCATTTCGATGCTTGAGTATTTTACTAGTTTTTATTTCAATTTTTTGTTTAAAATTTTTTTTCTTCTTTTTTTTTCAAGCTGCAGATGAGCTCAATGTTTTGAGATCGCCAGCATCCAAAGCCTCTTCATACGCTGGACGCACGGCGCCCATCATCGTGATCTCTTCTTGCGCTCTTTGATCCGACACAGCTGTCTCCTTTGGCATCTCGGCAAGCAACTTCTTGATCTCAATCTCGAGGTCGATCTTCCTCTCCCTGGCCACATCAACAACTGCCCACGCTCTGGGATCCATCTCGTTGAAGCAGCGCTTGAGTAGCTGGACCAAAGTCGGGTGACTGATCCACATGCGCCTCGAAGAATTTCTCGCCAAGGGCGCTAGCTCCATTTGCGCCAGGTAATTGAAGGCGGTGTTGAGGTCGCCGTCCACAATCGAGCACCTCACAAAGTCTTCGTACATGTCCCGCGTGGGCTTGAGCGTGTACATCAGCATCTCCGACTCTAGCTCCTGCGCCGTCTGAGCCTTCTGCGCCTTCTGCAGGAGAATTTGGAAGGTGCGTAGGTCTGGTCCCGACGAGCAGAGGTGCAGGAGGTCGCGGTACATGCCGAATGCCTTGTCAACTGTCGGTCCTTCCTCGCAGACGGCTTCAAGCACCACGTTTAAAGCCGCGATGGGGATTTTGTAGCCCGCCGCCTTCAAGTTCTCCATCATCTCTTTGACGCCGTCCAGCAGTTCGGGCGACCGTCTGAAGAGAAGAAAGATGGACCGCGTGCTGGCGGCCCCCGGAGAAATATCTGCGCCCTCCATGATGCCAAGCACCTGCAGCGCGTTCAGAAGGTCGCCGTTGTAGGCGTAGCATTCCACCAACGCTTCGTAGTGATGCAGCCCTAATCGGACACCCCTCTCTGCGAGAAGCTCGATAGCCCGAGTAGCCAGGTCTGCGTCTTGGTGGCGAGAGGCCGTGTTGAGCACGTTGATGACGACGCCGTCAGGGGGATTGACAAGGCGTTTCTGCACCAAGTGATCCCAGACCAGCTTGGTCCCTTCGTGGTGCAGTGCCCTGCTGCATTCGTCGAGCAAGAAGTACCAAGTCCCCAAAGGCAGCGCGCGGGACGGGGTGTTCTGGTTGCGAGCTTTGAGCCTTACCTGCATGACCCGGACGGCCTCCTCGACGAACCCACGCCTTGCGAGCGTGTAAATGAAGATTTCGAATACCCATGCAGGCACCAACTGATCGCTGTACACCAGTTCATCCAACAGATCCAGAGCCTTTTCAAATTGGCCATCGCGAAGAAGGCCCAAGGTGACGCTGATCTTAGCTTCTTTGTCGAGTCTAGCTCCTTTGGCTCCCAGGGAGCGTAAGATATCAGTTCTCAAAAGATAATCAGGATGGACCGCTAGTGCTTTGAGTGCACTCTGTAGGACGCCTATTGATGGTTCAACACCGGCGGCAACCATAGAGTCAAAAATGAACCCGAGCTCGTCGGCCGAACCTGTGATATCCCAATTGGCAACAACCAGAGATTCGTAGATGAAGGGGTTTGGCTTTTCCTTCCGGTTGTTCAAAAGGAACTGTATAATAGGCCGAATCTTGCCGTGTTGCCCATGGTGATTGCGAAGCTCACGAAGCGCTTCGTAAATAACAGGTGTCGATGCTTCCTTCAAGACCTCGGTAAGATCATTCGTCGCTTGGATTATCTCGGTTGCGGTCACAGTCGCGTCCGCAACAGTTTCGGATTTTTGTTGACTCTGTGGCCATTTCGGTTCGATGTATAGATCAGGAGAGACAAAGCTGTCGATGTTTGCTCGATAACCATGCGATTGCTGACTGAGCGAGCGTGCTCCTCGATGTCGATGCAGGCCATCCTTGCGACTGACTCGTGATCTTGATCGAATTGCGGAGGTGGAGGACAGGGTTGGGGCTTTCGCCAGCAGTGTGGCATCGACAGAAGGACAGAGACAACGCCATAAACCGTCAATTACTTGTCGAGGTGGCGGCATTGTGGTAGAGGCTGGAGGTGGTCAAAGTAATCACAAAGTCAAAATCCAACTTGGACGGAGGTGACTGTTGTTTTCGGGGTAATGAAGCTGTGTCCCGCACAAGGGCAGCTAGGAACTCCCCCAACTTCCAGGGGCATGGCCTGCGGGGTTGAGCTGATCAGGGGAGCGGTACGTATCTGAAAAGGCGGGGTAGAGACATCTCTCTGGGTTCGAGAGGCTTTGTGGGAGCGTGAAGCGATCTAAAGTTCAGTCATGCAATGCCGATTTTCTTTTTCTTCATGAATTCGAACACCATTAGAAAAAGGAATCCATCGTGTACTCTTATAGTCAATTTTGATGGTGTATAATTTGGTTAGAATCATAGGAACTAAGTGAGGAATAGACTCAACTATGTGTATTTTGTGCATGTTAATGATTCAAAGTCGACTACGATAACAAATCTTCCCTATCAGTTTAGCACTGTTCATTGCACGTAAGCTGAACAGTACAAGCAAAAAAGAGCAAACAAGAAAAGAAAAGAAAAGAAAAGAAAAAAGAGAAAATAAAGACGATATACAAGGAAGATAATAAACCACACGATCAAAAAAAGGAAGGCAGATTATCATAGTATCAACATGGAAAGACAATAAAACAAGTATGAAATGCAAGAAAAAAGCAAAAGTTTGGTTGGTCTCTCCCGCCGGGAATTGAACCCGGGTCTCGAGCGAATCGAACTGATGTTCAAGCTTGACAAGCTCACATACTGACCACTATACTACGGAAGATGTACACCTGTTGGTCAAGTGTCGTAGTTGGTTGGTGATGGACTTGATTCCAGACCATATATAGTCGTGTACCTAGCGTCACAAATCTGCTTGCGGCAACTGATGTGCGCACCTCGCAACCACACCATGCAACGAGGCAGTCAGCGAGATGAAAGCATTGCAGTAAGATAACTATAGAAGCGCAGCATTCGAACGCATTAGAAGTTAGACGTAGAAAAGACCTTATTTAATGAAGACGGTGACTTTGTCAGGATCATGCGCCTGAATTGAATGCAAGGCTTTGACACACTAATCAAGCGTATGACACTATGTCGCTTCAAAGCCCATTTCATGGTAGATATCCGCGCAGAACCTTATATGCATTCGTACCGAATTTCCGAGCGTTCTCCTTAGATACATTAGGCGACAGGTGTAAAGCTATGTTAACGGAACTCAGTCGCGGATGCGCTTGCAATCACCATAAAGCCCGCCTTGGAAAGCTGTGTGATCGCAAAGCAAAGCATGGAGCTTGCATAATCGATTTACGACACGAAACAAGCACAAGAATGTATTGCGCTGAATGACTCGTTATATTGAGGGAGGCGAGACTACCCAGATAGTCTGCTACGCTCCGCCGTCACGATCGTTATACTTTCACGCCGAACACCCTCGTTCTCACATACTCGTAGTTACCGCTCTCCCTCTCACATAGTGACTAGACCGACTGCATTTCCCTCCATTGTCCATCCTAAGGTCCCCGGTATCCAGGAGGGAGCATACCGCGCCGATCAACCGGGAAGGGGAGGCCACCCGCACCACCAAATCCAGCAGGGCCGTCTGGTCCCTGGAAGCCACCCATTCCGGGAGGGGGAGGTCCCATGAAGCCGGGTGGGGGTCCACCACCAAAAAAGCCGGGGGGAGGCTGCATCCCTCTAGGAGGCGGGGGTCCAACTAGGCCATCCGGGGGAGGTCCAGGCGGGAACGCTCCACCAGGAGGCGGGAAGTTCATGGGGAACATACCCGGCATCGGTCCGTTACGGGGTCCATTAACAAGACCGGGTGGAGGAATCATGGGCCTCTGCGGCGGACCCATCGGTTGGCCACCCACTCCGCTTCCAGGGTTACCGGCACCGCCAGCACCCAACGGGAAAGGAAGCATGTGATGATCTAGACCAGGGGGAGGAGGCCGCTGAAGAATCTGCGTTGGCATCTGCGTCGGCGGCTGAGAGGGACGATTGTCAACATCTGAGGGGTGAAACTGGTCACTGAAGAAGCCAGGAGGAGCCGGGCCTCTGATCTGTTGTTGTTGCTGTTGCTGTTGCTGTTGTTGCTGTTGCCGCTGCGCAACGCTACGCTCCCGCTGATATTCGGCTTCACGC